GAAAGAGTGGATTATAATGGAATTTATTTTAAATGTGCTTTCAGGAGCATTTTAATCCCTGTTTGAGTGAAGAGCATCTGTTGTTCATGCTGGCAGAGGTGGCTGTTGTGTCCATACATGGGGGTAAGCAGTAATGAAAGATGCATGTGCTCTGGCACAGCTCAGTGTGCAAAAGGGATGAGGCACACTAACAGTAAAGCAAAAAATGGGCATTTGTGAAAATGGGAATGAGAAAGGAAAGGATGCCACCTCAGTACTGCATGGCATCATTAAATAGATGCAGCCGAGGAGGCTGTAAGGGCAATGTATGATCCATAGGGGAAGTGCTCGGGACATCCTTCCCATCCGCCTCCACAGCCCCAGCACAAGCTGGACAGGAGATTGCTGGGGTAACGACAGGGACTTTGCTGGGGGGACGCTTCAGGAGGAATGGCACTGCACCAAATTGGGCCACTTCCCCACCACACATGCTGCTGGGCTTCTCAGATGACTGTAAATACAAACAGTGGAGATGGGATATAACACTGCAAAGGTGTCTCCTCCCTCCTTCCCGAGGCCCACATGGAAATGACTCTTTCTCAGTATCAACAGCATCAGCTCAGATTTTCTCTGCAAGAAGAGCCAGGTGATTGCCCTGCTTGTAAAATTCAGTATTGAGCTGCTTGGAAAAGTCAATGATGTGAAACATTTTTCTGGTGGAAAAACGCCTTTTGACAAAACCATTGTTGCCAATATTTCATCGATTACAATGGAATTAAACCACTAGGAAAAATATTCTTTGGCAAGAATTTTGGCAACTGGTGTCAAATTAAAAAAAATATTAAATATGTATTAATATATATTTAATTTTGTTTTTCTATTTCCATTCCACTTTTATTATTGACACTTTACTTCATGGCATGTCATTTAAAGCTGGACACAATAATTCCTAGGACATTGCAAGCCCTGGCATATAATAATCCCTGTGACATGTCAGGAGAGCACAGATTCACATCTATTTTAGAGCATTTTGTTTAGGCACCTGAGCTCTCACTACAGTCAATGGGGAGCGAAGCTGGCATTTCCAGGCGACAACCTGCAGTGTGTAAGCTGCATGCCTAAAGTAGGTAGTGTGAATATCTCCTTCTCGCACACACACACGCTCTCCTGTCATGTCACACCTCACACTACCACTACTGATTTTATTTTAAAGGTAATGCAACAATGATAAACTAGGAAAGCCAAGAAATTCTGTTAATGTGTTGTTTACTCTTTCAGTTTGATTTAAAACACATTTCTATCAGTGTGTGCTTGCCTGAATCAGTATTATCTTATTTTCCAGATCAAAATGTATGCAGTATGAGCTTCAAATGAAATAATTCATATTTTTGAGCAAAAAGCAAGGTAAGTGCTCAGCTGAGAGATTTACAAGAGCACTTTTTCAGTATCTGGGTGTCAGTCTGGAATCATTTTTCTAGGATGCTGAAAACAGCTGTTCCCATAATTAGCACATGGCCTGTCACTTCTAGGGTATCAGCTAAATCCAGCTTAGGTGGTCAGCAATGGAAAGCTACTGCAAGCTAATGGCTGTTTGGTGGCCTCTGCTAACCCAAATACAACTGAACAAGGGAAAATAAAGCAAAAAAAACAAACAAACAAACACCTATTGCAAATGGAGATAATTTGCTCCTGGCACATGTTGCTCTGTAAATCCTGCTGGGTGTGTTATGCTGTTGTAAGACTGACTAGGCATCAAGGTGGCTAGAAGGAGTCTCCTTCCGATTGTCACCACCAGTTCCCACACAGTGCACAGGAGACTTCAGCTATCATGCAGGTGAGTCTGGCCCTTCCATCTGAGGGGGAAAAATGCTCATTCATTTAAAAAAAATCTATCTAAAGAAAACCGTGGCAAAGGAGAGGCAGCTCAGTAACCCAAGACCTGTTTACAGTGTTTCCCTCTTTGTGTGGGGAATTTGGATGCCTTCATCAGCACGCTGACAACATCTCATCATGCCATCCCTCCCGCCGGGGAGCGCCGTGCCTACCCTCCCCCTTAAACAGCAGTGTGAGAGTGACAGAGCTGGGCCCAACCACAGGGCTGCCTGGCACGAGTGTCCTCCTATTTCTAGCAGAGTTTACAGCTGTGGATGCGTAGGGAGGCAGCAGAGACACCAAATGAGCCTTCCCTGGTGATCCTTCCCTGCTTCCAGCAAACAGGTTAAGGAATTTTTAAGCCAATGTTGCAGCAGAACAGTGTGTTTTAGCTCCCATAGTTTGTCTAATACCTTTCTGAATCCATTTACATTTTTGCTTTCTATAGCACCCTGTGACAGTGAATCTTACCTGTTCACTGTGTGTTGGGTGATACAATACTTTCTTCTATTTGTTTTAAACTGGCTGTGTATGCTCCCCTGGTTCCCATACTGTGAGCTATAGTGAATAATTGTCACCTTTTCCATTAGTGTCACTGTCCTTAAAATTGTTTAGAAGGAATCTTTTGTGCTTCTTATTATTTTGGTTTGGATTTTTCCTATTTAAACAAAAAAAAAAAAAAAGTTGTTTTCATTCATTTATTTTGCAATTTGGCCAGAGGAAGCTTGGGGCTGGACAGCTAATTAAATATGAAGTGGCACGGGCTAGTTTCACAGAAAGCACACAGAGTAACAGCCAGTCCTAGCTATCCCACAGACAAAACAGGCTGTTTCCTAGAGCTGGGAGCAACAGAACATGTTGCACGAGTTGTGCAAGGGGCTGATGGCTTCAGCTCTGCCAGCCCCCCCCGGAGACTTTGGCCCTCTCCCCACTGGGCTTGTGGACCTATTACCAAAATCACATATCTGGGGTTTCACTTTCCCTCACAAATAGGGCGGGTGGAATGGGGGAGGAGGAGGAGGAGAACCACTGGGAAGAAGAGAGCTGTAGCTGTGTGGCAGATCTTTTCTGATAGGAATACAATAAGAAAACGGTTATTTCATCCCCATAATATGGACATGAGAGGAACAGGAACCACAGCTCACCATTATTTCATTCTTCACAAGCCCTTCTAGAGCTGTTTTCTGAATTCCTG